TGAGGTCAAGTTGATGCTCTGGCGACACGTTCACTAGATGTAGGCCAGTTGATTTGTGAACTTCGGAGCCGATTTGATGATGACTGGGAAAGTGAGCGGTTGACAGTGGATCCAGCTTTGTTTGTTTCAGATAATAGGCAACCAGGGGTAAAGATGTGCCGCTATAAGCATTGGATGGGTTTGCCCAAGCATGGCAGCGGCTATATCTCGCCAAAACAGCACGTCACGCTGATGCGTTTCAGGATGTGTGTTTGGCCTTTGGCGGTTAATCGACCGCACGGTAGGGAACGGTCTGCCCGGTGGTGCCGGGTCTGTGGGAACCGGCAAGCTGTTGAAGATGAATGTCATGTGCTGCTAGATTGTCCTGCGTATGCGAATATCCGTTTGAAGCTTTGGGACCTGGGGGTTACTCCTGGGGACCGCATGATCGAGATTATGGGCGTCAAGGATCAACGCGGGTTAGCGCGCGTCTTGGACGACATTAGAAGATGCAGGTTGCAGTACGTTGAAGATTAATCAATCTGTTATTGTTGGGTATCGGCATTTTTCTTTTTTGAGTTCCTGTTTCCAGTTTGGCGGTTCATGAGCCTTTTGGCTCGTCTGGACCGTACAAGCTTGAAGCTTGTAAACGTAAAACGTAAACGTAATGCATAAGGGCTTTCATTATCGGTCACACTTTAGCATTCAGTCCGGAGCTCTCAGTACACAGATTTACCACTGAATGTCAACTATATCGCGACACCGTTGGGCATAGGGCCCAGCGTGCGTGTTTGAGAAGAAGCCTACAGTGAAGCAGGAGCGGGCGACAACAAGGATACCACTGAGACCTCTCCTTGACAGGCGAAGGCATTTCTATACTAGGCCGAAAAGAAGATTCGGCATTTCCTTTTGTGTGAGGCCATGTGCCAGGCGTTGCTGAGGCAGGCGAAGCCATATATGCCGCATGCCACTCCAATGCATTTACACTTACGTGCCGGATATGACAAGTGCGGAAAACCAAATCACGTATGCGCTCGCGTATAAAGATGGGCGATTTCTCGCGCGACTTGCGACTTGCGACTTTGCAAGGTGCAAGCTGTACGCAAGAGTGCACTTCGCCTCGCATCCGCAATTTATTTTGCAACCAGCCATAAGTGTGCAGTCCACACTTGTGCAGGCCCCGCATATTCAGAACCTAAAACAACTTTTGTTAACCTAGCGCAACGTATATCCTTTTGATCAAATCCAGTCAAGGTGGTGTCGAAAGACACCGGATTCGATACACCAGCGTAGCCATCCGATGTACGACCCGTACTATTGTACGGCAAGGTAAAAAGTCGGTGGTCGGTGACCAGCATGAAGGTATCCTGTGCGGTCTCAAGGTACGGCCGCCACTCTTGTAAGGCATTGAGTACACAGAAGCTCTTGCTCTGTGGTATTGTACTTGACTTGGGCAGGTGTGAACTTTTGGCTGGTGTGGGCGACGGGGTGGCCATCCTGTAGCAGTGCACCGCCTGTGCCGTAGATGCTGGCGTCAGTTACGACTTTGGAGGGTTTGGTAAAGTCAGGAAGGTGCAACAACGGGCGTTGATGAGGGCGTATTTAATGCCGTCGAAAGCCTGCTGGTGCAAGTTCTTCCTTCGGTCAGCCGTTTGCTGCCGGTGAGGGAGTCGCTAGCGACGAGTACCCTTGGGTAAACTTGCGGAAGTAGCTCGCAAGGCCAAGGAAGCCGCACAGCGCCGTCATGTCTTTTGGGACGGGGTCGTTCTTGACGGCCTCAATTTTTCAGGGACCCACCTCAGTCTATACTGGCCTACGAAGTGGCCTAAGAAGTTGACTTCGGGCTTGTTCAGCTCGCACTTTTCGCGCGTTGCACCTTAACACGCCCCTTTGCGGGATTCGAGTACGGCACGCATGTGGCTGGTCGGATCTTTGCTGAAGATGAGGATATCATCTAGGTTGACAACGCAGTAAGCGTCGATGAGCACGGTGTTTATGACCTTTTGAAAGGTCGCCGGTGCATTAGTCAACCCGAAGCACAGCACTTTGTACTGGAACGTTCCGAAGGGTGTCATGAGGCTGGTTTTTGGGATGTCCTCCTCCGTGATGCGAATTTGATGGTAGCCGCTTTGCAGGACGAGGGATGGGAAGATACTCGCGCTCTGGAGTGTGTTGAAGAGGTTGGTGATGTTCGGAAGTGGATACCGGTTTTTATGGTGATTTTGTTAAATAGAGTGCTAAAGTCAAGGCACATGAGAAGCGAGCCGTCCTTCTTTTGTGCGAAGAGGACGTGCGCACCGAATGGTGACTTCGATTCTTCGATAAAGCCTTTGGCCAGCAAGTCAGAGAGCTGCTTTTTCAACTTCGTTTGTCCAGTCGTGAAAGCCGGTATGGCCGGGAGTATGGCGGCTTTATGCCAGGTTCCAGCTCGATGACGTGGACAGTGCCGAGATCAGGGCCCAGGCCCGTTAAGGGCTCAAATACCTCCTTGTATTCAACCAGCAAGGCCTCCAGTTTTGCTGGTGACACCAGGGTAGGGTCGGACGGGGCCGCCGAGGTGGCGTCCATGGCGTTTAGTTGGGCGATGTCATCGCTTGTCATGAAGGCAGCCCTGTTTTTGCAGTTTTTTGATCTGCTTCATAAACACCAGGTTGGCGATAGGTGACATTGCCGCGTGCGGT